CCCCGCCCCGGAGCGCCGAGCGCCCGGCTCCGCCCCCTTCCGCCCGGAGCCCGCCCTCTGGGCAGGCGTTAGGATTGCCGAGTTAAATCGTGTTGTGCGCGTGTTTTTAAAACAACAAACTTAAAACACCGAACCGTAACGAGACTGTAGGAGAATTTATTGCGCACTTACTAAGTGCCAGGCTTTTGCTAAGCGCTTTACGAGCATTCTTACCGGGTAATCCTTGCAACAGCCCTTTTTGAGAGGCCGTTTGGACAGTAGTTTAAAACTAGGCTGAGGTCACGCTGCGGGCTCAAAGCGCTCTTAGCGGTTCAGTGGCCTCGCCAGTAAAATGCGGGTGAGAGGACCCGCCTCGTAGACTTGGGCTGAGGAGTCAATGAACTGAAACTCAAAACAGGGCTACGGGTGATGTACCCCTAACCCCAGCTACTCCGGAGGCTGAGCAGGAGGTTCACCAAATCCGAGGCCAGCATCAACAATTTAGTGAGATCCTGTCTCAGAATTAAAAGGTCTGGGCTGGGGTTGTGGTTCAATGGGAGAGCGCCTGCCTAGGACACGTGAAGCAGTGGGTTTGATCCCCAGCACTACAGAAAAAAAAAACACCAAATACGCAAAATAAAGGTATTGTTTCCATCTACAACTAAAAATATATATATATTTTTAATTAAAAAGTTTGGAGATGTAACCCATGGGTAAAGCACCCTGGGCTTGATCCCCAGTGGCGGGAAGGGGGATTACTATGATGAATACGTTTTAAATTCCATGATGTGGCCCAGTGAAAAGCGTCTAAGGTCGATTTTCCCGAAGTACAGTATCTGCATCCAGATTTTCTCAATTTGAATCTTTGGATGTTTTTCAATTAGCACTGAGAAAAAGTAACAAATATTTATTTTGAAGAAAATGGAATGTGTATATAAGCATGTAAAAGAAAAAAAAAAAAGCCCACTTCAGAAAGAACTGCTTACATGTACCTGAATTATTTTAAGGCTTTTTACCAGTCTGAAGCCAGATTGAGCCCTCTGCTGGGGACCCAGTCCAGCCCATGGAAGGAAGCCCTGCTCCTCAAACCCAGACTCCATCTGAAGGGATCTGGGCATAGAGCTGGATAGACAGCTCAGCCAAAAGGGGAAGGGCCCAGGCCTTGAGTGTTGGAGAGCTTTCTTAAGTTCATCTCCCCTGGACACAGGTGGAAGCAAAATCTGGAAGAGATCCTGAAGCTCACAGGGGCTCAGATACCTCTCCTGTGAAGTCCCTCTGAATCACACTACATAAAGGGGATAGAATCCATCACTCTGCAGCATGAAGTAGCTTTAGTACCTGAGGGATAAAGGAGCTGCTAACAGCCTGGAACCACGCCCCAGCCGTTCTGAGTGGGGTCATCTTCCAGCATGGACACTGGTTGCCTCAAATAGACAAATATTACACCAGGTTACTAGAGAGAGCAGAGTGGAATATAAGGTCATTGGTTCCATCCCAACTATACTGCCTATAACTGTGGGACCTTGGTTTGGTTACTTGATCCTTCTGGTCTCAGTTTCCTCATCTCTACTGTGGGAGTGATGAGGATAGCATCTAGCTTAGAGGGCTGCTTCAAGAGTTAAATGTGATCTTATCTGTGCTTAGCTTGGGAGTTTGACACACTCTAAGGGCTAATGTTTTCGTAATACGTATGAGAGTCTGTAAATATATTTGCAGAGGTTTCCAAATGTAAGTTTCTGTGAGGTTCTTTGGAGAGGTGGTAGTGTCCCTGGCACAGAAAGCAGAGAGAAAGATTATTGCATATCCCAGTGGGAGGGTGATGACCTCATAACACTTCCTCTGGGGGTGGGGGTGGAAATGGGCCATGATAATTAGAGACTGTGGTTAGAATTTTTTTGTTTCATTTTGTTATAAATATGAAGAGGCTGTGGGAGACATGGGGAGGAAGAAGCTGGGTGGTCCTTGGGGGAAAACTGGCTCTCTTTCTTGGGTGGGCAAGGTCTAGAAAGCCACAGCAAAATCACTAGACATGTTTCCAGGCAGAGGGACAAGCAGATGCAAAGGACTAAGATGTGAGTGGACACGGCGGTTCTGGAGGCTGAGGCAGGAGGGTCCTGAGTTCAAAGCCAGCCTCAGCAACTTAATGAGGCCCTGAGCAACTCAGCCAAGACCTTTTTCTAAAGGAAAAAAACAGAATTTTTTTTTAAGGGTAGGGATGTGGCTCAGTAGTTAAGTAGCCCTGGGTTCAATTGCAGGTACAAATTTTTTTTTCTTAATTAAATACATAAAAATAAAGATGGCGGGGGCTGGGGTTGTGGCTCAGCGGTAGAGGGCTCACCTAGCACATGCAAGGCTCTGGGTTTCATCCTCAGCACCACATAAAAAATAAAGGTATTGTGTTCAACTACAACTAAAAAAATAATAAATTTTTTAAAAAATAAAGATGGGAGTGGATTTACTTTTAGAAAGTCGAGTTTATCTGTTTAAGAAGGAAAGAACTGAAAAAGAAAAGGAAGGAAGGAAGGAAAGAAAGAGTAGCAAGCTCCCAACACGTAACTGCTATATCAGTTACGCACATGTCGTTAAACAAAGTTTATGGAAAGCAATTATTTTGGACTAGGCTCTAACAGACCAGACCAGACCAAAACAGAGTCAATCATGCTCATGCTAAAGCATATAAAGTACACACACACATACACATGCCCTAGGAATAGAATGTATTTCTTCCAAGGATCATGGTTAAAAAATTTGAAAGCTGCTTAGAGCTCTGCAGGGCTCTCTGGGATTACAGGCACTGGCACACTTGAACTTTTAAGGCTTGTATAGGCAGGACACCCTGAGATGGGGACAGAGAAGAATGGACATCTTTGTTACATGTTAGGCATTCAACAGATTTACTGAGCACCTTCCTGTGTGCCAGTCCTTATTTTAAGACACTAGAAATACGAGAGTCAAGAAGAACAAAGTCTACTTCCATGTACCAATAAAACAAATGGATATGTAATATAATGTCAGTACTGATAAGAGGTATGGAAAAAATCAATCATTATATGATCAGAGAAAAAAATTCTGGGATGTCCTAAACTGAATTACAAAGGTTGGAGGCAACTAGGGAGGAGAGATGGGGGAAGTTAATCAGTTAACAAACTATAGGCCAATGTGTTAAAACCTTAACTCAAGGCTGTGGGTGCAGCTCAGTGGCAGAGCACCTGCCCAGCACGCGTGGGCCCCTGGGTTTGATCCCCAACACTGCAAAAACAAAACCAATTTAAAACCCCAAATCCTTAACTCAAATTCCATCATGACCCCCCAGGTACCACAGCATCCTGCTTAGAACCCAAACAGTTGGATGCACAAGCACTTCTCCCTGCTTCCTTGGTATAATCCCCTGCCTCTTTTCTATGTCCAATGTAGATACAATGTAAACAATTTACATCTTACTTCTCCAAGGTTTTTCTTTTTTTAGTTGTAGATGGACACATGTCTTTATTTAATTTACTTATTAATTATATGTGGTGCTGAGAATCGAACCCAGTTCCTCACACACGCCAGGTAAGCGCTCTACCATTGAGCCACAACCCCAAACACCCCCATGGTCCTGTGCCCATTCTAATCCAGTATCTATGGTGCCAGGCTGGGAGTCATTTAACCAGGGTTTGCACTGTTTCCTGGAGTAGCAATAAGGCTATCAACAATGTGGCTTCTTTTCCTCCTGTGATGTTTTCCCAGAAAACCAGCTTCAACTGCCACTGTTAAAATGACTTGGCAGCATGCCAATGCAGAAAAACTGAGAGCATATAAGTCCCATGTAATGAAGTCCCGGCCCCCAAGGGGAAAGTCCTTTCTACTCTGGTTAGACCAAACCAGATGAGCCCAGATATTGTCTCCAGAGGGCTTTTAAGACCAGCTTGCTTTATGGGAGGCGCTAAGCAATTCAGTGCCTGTCTCTAAATAAAATACAAAATGGGCATGGGGGATGTGGCTCAGTCAAGTGCCCTTGAGTTCAATTCCAGGTACCCTTCCCAAAAAAAGAATATGTATTCCTATGTGTGTGTGTGTGTGTGTGTGTGTGTGTGTGTGTGTGTATCTCCCCAGTAAGCAGTATGTGTGTATATATGTTGTGTGTATATGTGTGGTTCTGGGGTTACAACCCAGGGCCTTGTGCATGCTAGGTAAGCACTCTAACACTGAGTTACATCTCCAGCCCTAGAATTGTACTTATCTAAGGTAGAATTAAAGGCACTGATAGTGTGAGGCTGAGATGAGAGTTGGGGGGCCCCAAGAAATATACATGAAATTATGTTTCTTATACCTGTGGCATTCTATTTTGTACTCTAATTGTTTCTCAATAACTATCTTCTTCTTTTATTCTTTTTAAAAAATTCATTTGTTCTTTTTAGTTATATGTGCTTTCATTTTTTTTAATACTTAATAAGGGGCTGGAGATATAGTTCAGTGATACAATTCTTCCCTAGCATGTGCAAGGCCCTATGTTTGATCTCCATTAAAAAATTAAAAAAAAAAAAGAATCTTGATAAGTATCTACTATGGGCTAGAACTGCCCTGTCCAATCCCAAAGCCACTAGCCTCAGATGGCTTTTTAAGTCTAAAGTTAAATTAATTTAAATGAATAAAATTTAAAATTCAGTTCTTCAGTTGCACTAGGTACATTTTCAAATATTCAGTAGCTACATGGGGCTGGTGGCTAAGGTATTGAATGATATGGAATTAAACATTTTCATTAATAAGTTTCTTTTATCTTCAGAACTGGCTTTGAAGAAAACTTATTTTCCTATAAATTTGACTCCAATTGTTTCTGGAGCAGAGAGCAGTTTAGCTCAACCTCTTCCCCAGGCTGGTATTAGTGTCATCTGTTAACACTTTTAGTGACCCGTGCAGGAGCTGAACCCATTCTCTTCTGATCTGTAGTCAGGCATTTTAACCATTAGGCCAATAAAAATCCCAGTCACTCAGAAGGCTGAGGCAGGAGGATCTCAAGTTCAACCTGGTCAATTTAGTGAGATCCTGTTTCAATATAAAATTTTAAAAAGGGTTGGGGATGTAGCTCAGTGCTTGCTTAGCGTGAGTGAGAACCCTGTGTTCAATCCCCAGTATCAAAAACAAAACAAGACAAACAAAATCCCCAAAACAAAAACTAACAAAACCTCAAGAAAGTGAGGGAGGGAGTGCTCCCAGTGTGTGGCTCAAGGGTAGAGTGTTTGCCTACTGTGCGTGAGAATTTGGGTTCTATTTTAGCACTACAAAACATAATAAAATGAAACAAAGCTATTAGATATGGACAGTGGCAAACCCCAAAAGTAGTGAGACCTGGGGAAAGGTGAGTGAGAAGGAAAGCCATACATTGAGAGCATTGATCCTTTCCCAATACATTCTTTCCAGATGATAAAACAAAGCCTGGGGAAGAAGTGTCCATCAAACCTGGAAAGGCAGTCTCTGGGAAGAGGCTGAAGCATTAACTCTTCTGTAAACAAATCCTTTTCAGATACCAACCAGTGGCCCCAGGCCCTGTATCAGGTCCAGTACAAGAAATTCCAGAAAGTAACCACTGACCCTAGACTCCCTCCCATTTGCCCGGTAAAACAGACCCTAAATTCCTAAGCACTAAAACTGATAGAACAAACTCCAAATTCCTGGGTGTCCAAAGAAAATTGATATGCTCACTAGACCACCTCTCAGAATAACCAAAATAAGCCCAGGCCCTTTCTTTGTTCAGTGGCTCATTTTCCACCAGGAAAGTGGGGGCCACCACAGCGTCATTTCGTCCCTGCATCCCCTGCTCCTGTGTGACACTTCATTCCTGAATAAAGCACTGGGCTGATTTGTGAAGTTTTTGTTTGTCCCGGTCCTCCCCCCACCCCAAAAAAGACAATAAGTGGGGTGGGGAGTAAGGTGCTGGGGAAGTATTGAAAGGAGGGATCTTTGGCTGGAAACAGGGAAAACTCCAAAGAAACAAGACAATACTTTTTTCTGGACAAACAATAATTTTTAAAAATAATATTTATTAAATGCTTTCTCCTACCGCTGAGCTACAGCCCCATCCCTTTCCGTTTTGAGAGTGGGTCTTGCTCAGTTGCTGAGGCTGGCCTCTAACTTGTGATGCTCCTGCCTCCCACGTAGAGGGAGATTGTACGGATTGTTTAGGCAACACGGTCTTGGGCACATCCCTCATCTCTGTTCTCATCAGGGCTTTGTAAAGAAAACAAAATGAAATTATGTCATTTGCAGAAAAATGGATGTAACTAGAGACCGTTATGTTAAGCGAAGTAAATCAAATTCACAAGGTCCAGGAACGTATGTTTTCAAAGGCGGAAGTAGAGAGGAAAGAGGAAAAGAAAGGTGGAAACAGACCTCATGAAAATCAAAGGGAGCTGAGTAGAGAATAGAGGACCAAGGAATGGGAGGTGGAAAGAGCTGGGGGAGGGCTGAGAAGTGATACTGGACAAATTATATTGTTATACTGTGTGCATGTACAGATATGTAACAATTTTTTTTAATGAACCAATAAAAAAAATGTGGGTGGGTGGGGAATAAAGCAAGCAAGGCAAGACGCTCTCTTGAGCGCGCTCTCTCTCTCTCTCTCTCTCTCTCTCTCTCTCTCTCTCTCTCTCTCTCTCTCTGGCCCCAGGGAGACTTCCGGCGGGCGGAACCTAGGTTCCTATTCTGAGGGAGACGCCCGGAGATTTTTCACCCAGACTCTCACCTTAGCGACGCGCGCCTCGTTGCTAGGGGCGGAGGCGCGGGAGGCAGTGGAGGGCTGCGGATGCTCTGCGGCTCCGTGGCTCCGCCGGCCCGGCGCCAGCCTGACCCAGCTGCAGGTGGGTATGGAACCCGAAGTGGGAGAAACGAGGGAAGCGGGAGGTGGGAGTCCTGGCGCTTTCTGGGCCGAAGCCACCCACCTGGCCAAGCTGCGAGGAGGTTTCTGGGGGGTCACAGTTGGTCTGGGTGGCGTAAGGTTTCCCTCTTGAGGGACTGTTCCTTGCCCACATGCACTTCAAAAATAAGCTTTAGCGGTTCACATAATGGACAGGGAGAGGAATTTTAGTGGTCTGAAGCGCCTGAAAAACAAACAAACAAACAAAAAACTGCACAGGTTGTCCGCAGCCTTCGGAGTTCTGACCTAGAACTGATTCGCTGTGTGACTCTGGGCCACGGTTTCCCTTATCTGTACCATTAGAGGGTCTAAACACACCACCTTCCATATTTCTACCCGTCGCTGTTTCTATATGAGCATTGGTTTAGATGCCTCTGGGTCCCAGTTTCATGCTACAATATAATGGTTGCATATGCAGTGACATATATCAAGAGTATTGCACTAGAGAGTTAAAAAAGAATTCTCTGTGTTGTTTAGAGTGGTTACTGTGTATCTCAAGGTCTTTGAAAAACAGATTTGGGGCAGAAATAGGTCCTGGGGTCCAGATTTATTTATTGCTACACTGGGGGTTGAACCCAGGTATGCTCTACCACTGAGCTATATCCCTAGATCTTTTTATTTTTTATTTTTCAGACAAGGTCTTACTAAGTTTTTCAGGCCAGCCTAAAACTTGCAACCCTCCTGCCTCAGCTTCCCAAGTAACTGGGATTACAGACTTGCATCATCACTCCACCTGGCCTATTCTCAAGATTTTAAATTGCCTCACTGTATAACATAATTCTTATTGTGATCCATCATTCTAGTTAGGGGACCTAATTGGCTTCAGCTTAATATTCTCTAGACTCACATATAGATTTGTATGTGATCTCTGTGGTTTTTTTTTAAACATCAGAAATTTATTAGTTGCTCAAAACATTATATTGATCTTGACATATCATATATCACATATTTGTTTCAAATGGGGTATGAATTCCTATTATTCCCACGTGTACAGATTGCAGGATCACATTGATTATACAGCCACGTTTATACATACTGCCATACTAGTGTCTGTTGTATTCTGCTGCCTTTCCTATCCCCTTCCTATCCCCCCTCCCCTCCCCTCCCCTCCCCTGATCTCTGTGTTTAATATACATTTACTATAAGCAGTATTAACAAGAGTGAAATTGCTGATCGGTGCAGTCATTTTAATAACCATACCTTATTATTAACAGTTTGGCAGTTTGAACTGGAGGCTTTTACACAGCAGGTGTAGTAGAGGAGCAGTATAGTATGCTGATCAAAAGCAGGGCCTGTGGAGTCAGACTGCTTGGGTTCAAGTTTCATTTCTGCCACTTATTTACACTGCAAAAATGAGCAAGTTATTAACATCTCTTTGTCTCACTTTTCTCATCTGCAGAATGGCTATAGTAACTATTTCAGAGGTATGTTAATGAAATGAATTAATAAATATGTGGCACATAGGGAAGTTCCTGACACATCTTAAGAGCTATTTTTAACCTTCACAGAAAACAGTGAAGAGTTATTACCCCATTTTGCACATTAGGAACCTGAGACTTAGGTTCAGCAATTTGCCTAGTACCTCAGAAGAATTGTAATTCAGACCTAATCCTGTCGAATCCAGACGGTAAGACATTTAATCAAATGTTATTCTGTGCTGCTCATAATTCTCAAAATAAACTACATTGTCAATCAGTGCTTAGAATGTATTTAGATAGGCATAGTGATGCGCCCCCATAATCCCAACTACTTGTGATGCTGAGGCAGGAGGATCAAAAGTTCAAGGCCAGTCTTGCAATTTATCAAGACCCTGTCTCAAAACAATTCTTTTAAAAAGGGTGGTGGTGTAATTCAGTGGTTGAATACCTTTGTGTTTAGAACCAAGATTTGAACAAAAATTTTTTTAGAGTGTACTTAAACTCTTAGAGTTGTTAAAATGTAGGGGCTGGGATTGTGGCTCAGCGGTAGAGCACTCACCTAGCACATGCAAGGCCCACATAAAAATAAGATAAAGATATTGTGTTCAACTACAACTAAAAAATAAATATTTAAAAAAATGTAGTAAAACTCTTCTGTGTAGAGGTTTATAATGGGCATTCTAGGCTAGAAGTCAAAAGATTATCTGATTATGAATTTTTTTTGCAGTACTGGGGATTAAGCCCAGTGGTGCTCTACCACAAAGCTACATCCCAGCCCTTTTTATTTAATTTTTTAAAAGTTAAAAAAATTAAAAAATTTATTCTAATTATACATGACAATAGAATGCATTTTGACACTTTATATACATATGGAGCATAACTTCTCATTCCTCTGGCTGTACATGGTGCAGAGACACACCAGTTGTGTAATCATACATGTATATAGGGTTAAATTTTTTAAAGTTTTGAGACAGAATCTCTTTAAGTTGCCAGGCTGGCCTTGATTTTTTTTAAGTTGTAGATGGACACAATACCTTTATTTTGTTTGTTTATTTATATATGGTTCTGAGGATCAAACCCAGGGCCTCTCAGTGCTAGGCGAGTGCTCTACCACTGAGTCACAACCCCAGTCCTCCTGCTACAGCCTGAGTTGCTGGGTTCACAGGCTTATGCTACCACGTTCGTCTTGGTTATAATTTTGAACAAATAATATATCTGCTTTCTGCAGATCTCAAAGTAAAGGATTTATATGTGATGATTTTGAAAAGCTCTTTCATCTCAGGTTTTGTGATTTATACTTAATTATTTTTTAATCTAAAATTTTTTCCCACCTTTTATTGGTGCATTATAACAATGGGATTTGTTGTTACATATTTGTACTTACACACAATATGACAATATAATTTAGCCAAGACCACTCCCTAGTACTTCTCCCTCCCTCCCCTTATACTTATTTAAAAAAAGAAATTTTCCTTTTTACAAAAGCAGTGAACTCTGAAAGTAAATAGTCAACTCTGAAGGTTTTCAATGAACAGAACTATACTATGAGTAAAATAAAAATATTTCATGATGTAATTAAATATATTTTGCATATTTAAAACTAGATGTATAATCGACATTAAAATTATACTTTCTCTCATTGGTGGAAATGTGAACCTTATAATCTTGGAATTTTGTAAGCCATCCTTTTTATTGTGAGAGAAAATGACACTTAGCAATCTTTTTAACCAAACAAGGTCTTTATTTACCTTGTAAATCTCTTTTCAGTGCAAAGAGATGCTTAGAGAAGAGATTAACCTGAGCATCTTTTCCCTAATTACAGAGATTAGGAAGTGGCTGCCTGAATTATTTTCCAAAGTATAAACATTACAAATAATTAAAAACGCAACTCACCAGAAGATCCTTTTGATTTGGGGGTAAGTACCTTTTCCTTTAGAATGTCCCATGAATATTCTTCACTTGGGAGGTATGGCTCTCTGGAGATACAAGCTAAGAATCCAATCAGATTTAAGCACAGCCAGTCCATTTATAGCACCTGCAATTTCCCATGACCTAGATCTATGGGTGGCACATCTTTTTAGTTGGATGATAATGTCGAAAAATGGGTTAGACTGGCAGATAGGAAGCCCTGCACCCTCTGTCTATGAGCAATACAACATTCCAAGCTTTTGGGAAACTATTCTGAATTTTTTTTTAATCACATCTTGTGATCTATCATATAGAATCCTAGAATATCTGAACTTGAGGGGACTGTGTAGATTCACTACTTCGCAACAATTATTTTTGTTGTATTGGTGAGCCTCATGGGATACAGAGATGAATAATCAGAGCCCTTCTTTTTTTTTTTTTTTTGGTACTGGGAGTTGAACCCAGGGATGCTTAGCCATGGAACCACATCTCCAGCCTTTTTTTTTTTTTTTTAAATTTAGAGGCAGAATCTCACTGAGTGCTTAGGGCCTCACTAAGTTGCTGAGGCTGACTTTGAACTCGTGATCCTCCTGCCTTAGCCTCCTGAGTTGCTGGGATTATAGGCATGTGCCACCGCCCAGCAGAGTCCTCCTTCTTATGGAGCTCGTAGTCTACTAAAAATCATTTAGTCTAGTGTCCTGATTTTTTAAATGAGGAGGATAAGGCACAAAGTGAGAACTGCAGCCACTGAAGGACACATGAGATGAGAGAGAGTTGGGCCAGAGCCCAGGGCTCTTGATGCCACACACAGTGTTCTTACCACTGCATTGCTAGTATCTAGTTACCTTCTGAACTAGTTACCTGTTCTTCTCAAGAGATCAGTTCTGACAGTTCCTCAAAATGTAGGCTGAAGTTCTTCTGGAAAACTCCAGTTTTTAAGGTAATGGTGTGAATGAGAATTCTTAACTTGGTGACTTTTAGATGCTCCATGCAGCCTGTTCTTCCTAGAGTAGGCTGCTGGTGCCCATAGGAAACTCATCTCTTATTCTGCAAGCAGAACCCCAGAAGAAACCGGCAGGGCATTCTCACTGCCCCATTTACTTGCCTTAGCCTTCCGGTATCTCAGGGGACAGATAGTTATAGAGGACATGGGACCTGAAGCAGCTGAAATTAGCCCCAAGTCAGGGTTCTTCAGTCCCAGTGAATGTTCTTGCTGGTCACATCTTTGGCTTTCTCTCTCTCTCCCCCTCTCTATCTCCCTCCCCGCCCATCCCTCTCTCCCTCCTCTGATTCACCAGCATGCAGTAAATTAGGTGCTTACAGAGTATTTCTTGAGTGAAGGACTGGATGGGCATCTTTGATTGCATAATTTACTTTTTTTTCTTTTTAGTTCTGGCCTTGTTAGTTGATGGGAAAAATGTAAATAAATCTGGAAAACAATTACTGCTTTTAGTCTTTATGACTAATACAGGTCATCCTATACTAACATGATTCAATTTCTAGATCAGCTGTTCTCAAACTTTTGTCATCAAGTCTCCTTAATACTCTTTTTTTAGATTTTTAAATTTTATTTGTTTATTTATTTGGTACCAGGGATTGAACCCAGTTTTGCTTAACCATTGAGCCATGTCCCCAGCTTTTTAAAATATTTTATTTAGAGACGAGGTCTCGCTGAGTTGCTTTGGGACTTCTCTCGATGCTGAGGCTGGCTTTGAACTTGTGACTCTCCTGCCTCAGCCTCCTGAGCTGCTGGGATTACAGGCATGCACCACCATGCCCAGCCTCTTTATGCTCTTAAAAATCATCAAGGACCACAAACAAGTTTTATTTATGTAAGTTATAGTTTGGGTTCAGGTTCTTGCTTGTCCAACCTCTTATTGATATGAAAACTGATAAATTTCAAATTAAAATACTTGTCTAGCATGTCAGGTGTGATTCCTCAGCCCCACAAAACAAAAACAAAACTCTAACAATAAAAAACCTATTACTCGTTAAGATGAATAATATAATTTCATGAAAATAAGCTTTCCCAAAAAATTTAGTAAGAAAGAATGGTATTGTTATAAATTCTTTGAAGTCTCTTTATTATTTGGCTTAAACAAAGACAACTAGATTCTTGTATCTGCTTCTGCACTCAGTCTATTGCAATATATTGTTTAGGTTAAAGTATGAAAGGAAAATCATGCCTCACACAGAGAGACAGCTGGAGAAAGGAGGACCCCGGACTCCTTAAAGAACCAGAAATCCCCCCTGGTCCCCAGATCACACTTGGAAAACTGCTGGTCTAGGTCATTATCTATATTATCTCAGTGTCATCATCTTTAGCATCTCATTACAGAATAATTTCATGATCTTTTATGCTGATTTAAGTACCACAGTGAAATTATTTAAAAATAGTTCAGCATAAGAAGGGTCATAACTTTTTAGAATGTCCAAAGCTCTTCCAAGAAGCTTCACTAATATGGATTTAAATTTTTTTTCAATTACATGCTTAGTATTTATCTTATTGTGATAGAGTGTACATAACATAAAATTTACCATTAGTGACATTTAGTACCCAGACAGTGTTGTGCGACCATTACTATGATCTAGTTCCACAACATTCTCATCACCCCCAAAGGATACCAGACCTATTGTTCCCTCCTTGTCTCAACTCTTGGCAGCCACTAATCTGCTTTCTGTTGCTGTAATTTGCCAACTGTGCATACTTCACGTAAGTGGAATCATACTTTGCATGATACTTTTAAGGTTTTTTGCTGTAGCATGTGTCAGTGCTTCATTCCTTTCTGTGTCTGAATAATATTTCATTATATGGGTAGACCACATTTTGTTTATCCACTCATCCCATTGATGAATTTTGTTACCTTTTGGCTATAGTGAACAGTATTACAGCCATGAGCATTGGGTACCAATTTTTGTGTGAACACCAGTTTTTAATTCTTTTGGATTGGAATTGCTGAATCATAGGGCAATTTTATGTTTAACTGTTGAGGAAATTCTTAATGTTTTTTTTAAAACTAATGCATGAAAACAAAAATTGTACATGTTAATGGAGTACCATGTAATGTTGCAATACATGTATACATTGCATAATATTTAAATCAGTTTAAACATAATTCTTGAGTGTTTTTAAAAGTTAGTTTTGTTTTTGTTTCTCTGCTGATGGTTTATTGGCACCTGTAATCCCTTCAAAGTAAAGCAGGAAAAAGAAGAAAAGCACATGCATTCAATTAGTCTTTTTTGTTTTAAAATAATTTCACATAACCATTCTACCATTGTTGTGCCTAACAAAATTTACAGTACACATTCTTCTTTTTACTAAACAGGAAACACAACTTCCATCAACCACAAGGGATGCTACTACTCAGATGCCACCTGAAACACACTCCTCTTTCTCAGGCTTCGTGTGGGCTCTGTGCCATAATGGGGAAACTGCAGAGCAAACTCAAACACAGCAGTTACAAATACAGGTACAGCAGTCTTCCCTAGGGTTCTTTTATTTTGGGCAGTTCTGAGTATTGAACCCAGGTTCTCACACACACTAGACAAGTGCTCTACAGCTGAGACAGGATCTCACTAAGTTGCCGAGGCTACTCTTGAATTGCGAATCTCTTGCTTCAGCCTCCTTGATCGCTGGGATTCCAAGCATATACCACTGTGGCTGACTTGGGGTCCTTAACTTTATCATGCCTCCATTAAACTCAAGAAAGAGAACAAGGTTACCCCCAATAAAACAACAAGCTTAATAATCATCCTTTAACAATGAGAACATATGAGAACATTAAAATAAAGAGTTCAGAAAATACAACATCCATCCGTATTTATTTGGGGACAAAATGAAAAAGAAAGAAGAAAAAAAAAAAGGTAACAAAGTTAATGACCTTCCCTGAACTGTTTGGTCTGTTTTCTTTTAGCTAAGAAATAGTTTATTAGCTAATATCTGCACCCATTAACGGGGGTGGTGGTGCAGAATAGCCTTTGGGATTTGTGGCTAGTGTGAGCAGACTCCTGTCTTAGGATTCCTTTATCAGATTTCAATCATTGAGTCATTCTGAGCATTGTCAGAATTCACAGGGAGGCAGTGTCAGTGTTTCCTTTCTCTACTTCTTTCCCTTTATCCATCCCCTCAGCCCACCTGACTTGCTACTGTCGCCTGCACCGCTGCTCCCCTGTCCATCCCAGCATTAGGCCTCTCATTTTCCACCTCTCTTTAGCAGGCCTGACGGAATCATGGAAGAGAGAATTCAAACTAAAGCTTCTCAAGAGTATAGCCCCGCTCATGTGGACGCTGTCTCTGCCGTTGCTGCTCTGAACTCAGACCTTTGTGTCTCTGGAGGAAAAGATAAGGTGAGGTCTGCAGCATTTCCAAGGAAGACAACTCATTTTCAGGAGAGGGAAGATACTCAGAAAATCTAGGTTTTCACTTCATTTCTGGCAGCCAGGCTATTAGTGTAACTGTATGGGCTTAAAGGTAGAAGGGCTGGGTTTACACACACCTGCAACCCCAATGACTTGGGAGGTTGAGGCGGAGGATTGCAAGTTTGAGGCCAGCCTCAGCAATTTATCAAGGTCTTAAGCAACTTAGCAGTGAGACCCTGTGTTAAAATAAAAAAAAAATTTGAAAAGGCTGGGCATATGGCTCAAATGTTAAGCTCCCCTGGGATCTGGTGCCCCCAAAAAACGATTGGGTGTAAATCCCTGCTTTGCTTCTATTACTTTAGGTAAGTCTAACTTTTATGAGCTTCAGTTTCCTCATCTGATAAGTGTAGATAATATCAACCTCACTGGATGATTTTGAGGAGTAAATGAGAGATCATAAGTAAGATCCTTAACACTCTGCCCGACATGACCACCTGCATGACTTCTATAAGTGGCAGGTGTTACTGTTCCAGCCCATACATGTTTACAGCAGAAACAGAAGTTGTCAGCAAAAAAGAACATCATACTTTGTTCTCTTGTGGGTGCATCTATTCTTTCCTTGTATGTTTTTCTCTTTTCTCCCATCGTCATTTTGAATTCAAGTGCTTCCTCTCCTTCATATTGGTTGTGTCCTCATACTCACTGCTAGGAGTAGCAAAAATGCTGCTGCTTTTTGCAGTAAATAATGTCTCTCACTGTCAATAG